TTACAAACAAAGCCGAGGCAACTGCCTGAAACTGATGACGCAACACTCCCGTCTGAATTGTCGAAAGTATTTTTACTCACTTAGAATCTGTTCTCACTGGAATGCATTACAAAGATATGTGGTGAACGCACCAGAAATGACGATATTCGAGAGACCCTTAGACTTTCATCTTAGTGATAAACCCTACACAACAGTTTGCGAAAGTGCAATGGTTGAACCACTAATACTTCAAGTTCCACGTTGGAACACTTCGATTTTATTTTTCTTTTGCATATCCATCCTGTGGGTCTTGTAAAACTATGCTTTTTATTCCATCATACACTACTGAATTACTGAACGTTACCGGCTCACTCTGTTGCCGTCTCCGACTAAGACACAACGACGCATGTCTCGTAGCTGTCTCTTACCACCCCCAACGTCCACTCAGGAAATGGATTCCCACTTAATACGTGGCCTGAACAGAAAAACAGGCACTATGTACAGCCACATTCTCATCTACAGAGACTCCAATCTACACGATCTGGAGGTTTCGACATAACCCAATGAGCAGTTCAAAGCGGACTTGCATGAACTGATCGCTAATATTCCCTAGTATAGTCATGTCACCACGCCCCCTAGATCCAGTATAGCAAACAAACCGTATTGGACCTTGTGCTCACGAATGAAGAGCTCATGGTTGACAAGTTTTTGATGGATAGTCCATTAGGCCTCAGTGACTATGTAGTAATAACGTTCCACTAGATGTGTTATGCAGAGTATCCATCTGAACACTCTGAACTAACTCATACAACCACACGCTACCACGTATTGAAAGGACTAGTCGACGCATCTACTTGGGAATTCTCAAGCAACACTACCCTTGACAACGTTTGGACAGAGCTCGTTGACAGATACAGCGACAGCCTCAACAGAGCATCACAGACCAACCACCTTCGGCTCGCAAAAGTTCCTTCAATTCTAAGGAGCAGGACTTGAAAATGCCTGGCGCTAACGGCTGCAGCATGGCGTGCCTACAAAGTTAACCCAGACTTAAAGACTTGGGGCAATTTCCTAACCCATCGCAAACATTGCACTGCACTTGTCCGTGAGGATAAACTAACTTATCAACAGTGCCTGGCCAAAATATTCCTGGCGAAAAGCAAACTGCTGTTAAGGCATGACAACAATCTTCGTAAGGTGAATCATGGCATCCCTTCACCTTTCACGACATGCGGTAGAGTATAAAACGCCGAAGAAGCAGCTAATGCCCTGAAACTACGATAGGCCCCAATTTTCAAACTCACAACCTCGACCTGTCCCATAATGTCATGCACATTACCGACTCCTTTGTTTACAAACGTAATATTCAACCCACCAGTTATGTTAAGTAACTTCCTATCACTGCGCGATCATAGGTCTCCGCGAGCCGACAACATTCGCCCGAAAGCACTGAAGGCTGCGGCCACCAAGCTAGCTAAACCATTGTCATTGTTCTTCCAAAGGTGCTTTGTTGAACGACATGTCCTCATTATGTGCAAATGTGGCATTATCACCCCAAATTTTAAAGGCGGTAGCCGTTCAGATCCTGCAATCAATCGCCCAGTGACTCTCCTCCCTGTGCTGGCGAAGGTGTTGGAAGCGGTCATCGCTGAGGCTTTAATAGACTACCTGGAAAATGCAACACCTTGGCACCGAAGCAGCATGGCTTCCGTCGATACCAGTCATACACCACCAACCTACTGATTACACGAGTTAGTTGGACGGGAGTGGTTAATGATAGGGTCGGAGTTGACTTCATCTATCAGGACTTCTACAAAGCTTTCGGCCGCATTCTACTTCACCGGCTACAGAGCTACGGAATCCGAGATCCTGTGTTTGGTTGGATTGGTAACATTCTTCACCAAAGGTAGCTTCATGTACGCGTTAGGAGATCAATCTCTAACCCGATCGAGATGGAAAGTGGTGCCCCACATGGCTCAGTGCTGGGAACACGCTTATTTCTGGTGTTTATCAACGACCTGGCGAGAGTTATCTCCTCAAATTTCCTGCTTTTCGCCGGTGACGTCAAGATATGGCGGGCGATTAGTAACAAGCCAGATTGCGATCTACTCCAACATGACCTAGATTGCATTTATGAACTGTCAAAGAGAAACCTGCTTCAGGTGAACATAGCTAAGTTAGAAGGTGTTCTCTCTGCTTCTCCAGCCAGTGAGGGCTTACCAACTTGGAGACCACACCTTGCAGAAGGCCTCACAGGAGCGTGAGCTGGGTTATCTGGTAAATGAAGAGCTCCGGTGTACAAAACAAGCAGAGAAGGCGTCGAGAACCAGCAATCAATAACACGGCCTGTTTCGCAGAGCGTTCGGTCGGTTCGAACCCTCAATCTTTCCCCAAATGCTTAACGCTTACGTGCGACCGCACGTGAAATATGCTATCCAGGCGGGGCAGAAACAGGATCTCGTTGCTTTCGAGACACCTCAAGGGAGGGCAACCAAGAACGTTAGGGGCCTCTTTCATTTGACTTATCAGCTTGGACTGAAATCTTTAAGAATTTACGGCAGTCGAAACCGGTTTTTTCGGTGGATATCATAATGGTTTAACAAATTCTGAAGAACCCAAACCACATTTGCCGTCCGCTGCTGGTATTGAACCCCAACACTAAACTAAGAGTTCACCCTCTGAAACTGACAATTCAGTACAGCCGGCTTGAATGCCGTAGTAAAAATTATTTTCTCTTTGCGTGTACCAACCTTGGAACGCCCTCCCTAGTTTTGGCGTCCTGCTCCCAATCTGACGATATTTAAAAAACGAGTTGACCAGGGGTTGTCTCATTTGCATTTTATTTTATGACTTGTTAGCCAGGGGCTAAAAAACGCAATCAAACGATGTGTTACCAAACTGCCAACCAATAGGTTTATGGATGTATACTTTTAATACGCGAACATCTCCGTCATTGTACATAAGTCTATGGTGAGTCCACCAAAACGCTCTTCAGTTTATCATACAATTTACTTTTCGCAATAATTTCCGTCCCACAGGACTTGTTAAGCATTACTTTTTTTAACCCGTAATACACCACTGTTCCGTTGATGTGACCTATGTCCTAGCCAAATTCAGTCAATCACCATGTACTTCGAACTGTGTTGAATAGCCTTTTCGCTCTTATTTGACAAACAAACAATAAGCATCTCCATAGAATACACGAAAACTAATCACTGCTGTTTAACATGTAGATAGCAGCTTAATTGCCGAAACACTTCAAAATGATTAAAAAATATCCTAAATTTTTCGAAAAAAATGTGTTTTCATATTAGTTGGGGATAAAGTGAGGTGATTTAGTTCCGCTTCCTCTTTAACACTGTCGCTGCGCGGGACTCGTTACAGTGGTAGGGTGCATTGGTCATCAGTTGTAGGCATTTTCCACTGATATTGAACTCCAGATTCATACCAACAAGCGATTAATATTTTAGTACCATTAATCATACGATAGAGAAAATAGAAACAGCCGTGTTTCGACTTTTCGCTGAATTTCGTTAAAACAGGAGTGTTGAAGTTGCAAATTACACCAAATGCAAACAGAAAGTGTACTAGTGCACACAGTTCCTAGGAACAAAGACGGTAAAAAGTTTGGAGATAATCTGATGTGTTGATGTACGCTTTATCGGATGGACACACTGATAATTAGGTTTTGGTCTACTGTCTGATCACTCAACGTGCACAGCGGAAGTTATCGCCGTCTATGGGGTGACCTCATTCTGGCATACCGGACTTTTTAAAAGCAGTCATGTTTAACGCCACCTGAAAATTAGCCGGAACACAAAACTGAGGGGTTATAAGCTTAAACTGGCTACGCAATACAGCCAAACGGAAGGTGGCCGGTATTTGTTTCCTAAAGATCTGTCAGCCGTAAAAAACTTTTCCGACTCGTGCCATGTCTGCGCCCATGTTATCCATTTAAATACTACTCGATGATACATTGTACCATTTGCAATATGTCACATGAATCTCGCACATAGAGGGCCGACAAAACGTGAACCAACGTTGTGCTCAACAGCCCCACACGAAATCGAGTCAGACGAATTTGCATGTAAGTCAACGTGGATATTATTATGGTGAGTTTAAACATGCGCGGTTTGTTTGTAGACATATTTTGAACCTGCATATTTCACACAGTCCATCTCATGGGGCTTGTCAATGCAGTAGTATTTTTATCCGATTTTTACGATTGTACCATTGTTCCATTGTACGTAAGTGTATCGAGTCAACTTTTGTCCTTCACGAGAACGGGCTGTCAATCGTTTTTTCAACTTTGACAATCCGACCATTGATCCATCTATTATAATGAAATGTGTGGTCACGTTGCGACTTAACGTACTACATGTCTTATAACTCCTAGAGCTTACCATAACCTACACCATACCAATAATCATAAAATTCGGCTTTGACCTTGGCGGCCATAAAAGTAAGCACAAACAAGGGTTTATCCTCTATGTAGCGAATAAAGTTCAAAGATCCACATCTGCAGGCTAAGCGTAGCGTTATAAAACATGAAGTATTCGTATGTCGTACCGTAGAAGACTTTCATAACCGGCACATTAAGATTTGGTACCAAAGTGGCTGGCCTGTAACCAACAGATTCTTCTCAGATGCTAGAAAGTGCATAGGAAGAGAATTTATAAGCGATAACTGTGGCCTAGTTATTTGTAATAAACAAACTGCGCATGACTAGAGTGTCAGCCCCTCCTACAACTCCACTAACTACCCTAACTATTTGCGGGAATATACGTTCTTGAGTAGCCAGATGCTCTGCACAGCGGTCGGGGTAAATAATACCTCGATGATGGTCAAGGTCAACTTATGAAACCGAAATACCAACCCAAGGTTTAGTGTATCCCATGACGTAACCCGGATAAACACTTTTGTAAGACCAATGGACGGAAAAGAGCTCGCTTCATTCCATGAGTCCAAACAAGAATACATACAGGAAGACAAATGGAAAAAAATGGTAGACACTTGCGCGGGCTAATTCTATACCTGAACAACTCATTTATGGTTAGATGAAAAGAAAAGTTGGCAACAGGAAATCAGTTGTCAGGCCAACAGATGAAAAACGTTATTAGCGGAATTCAATACAAGTTGGGATTATAAGTTATAAAGTTAAAATTAGAGGAAAATAGAGAAAATAAGCCCGTTTCGTATCGAGGGTAATTGAATTGCAAATTGAATTGTAAATTGAATTGAATTGTAAATTGAATTGGCAACGTAGGCAGCAGTTTGTTGAGTGAATGATGGAATAAAATGTCCACCTAATCTTTGGTAACGGAGAAATTATTCTTCATCCGTGTGGAAAGGAGAACAAGTGGGATCCGTCTGCATACCATCTCCACATATTTCAGAGATCTGCTCGGTGGCGCAGCTATCCTTTGGCATGTCCGGAATCGATGGCGATTTAGTGGGCACGCACGACAGTACAGCAGACAAAGCGTGGAACCAACTGGAAAATCGTGGAATTAAGAAAAGTGCTCAAGGCTCGTTGCAATAAAATATGCATCACATTACGTACTTTAAAGTATTTCAAAGGAAATTGAATTATTAAAAGAGAAAAGGTGAAGACGCACTACAAAATGACGCCATTTCGTGTTAGCTGATCGCTTGTAAACGGAAAACATGTAGAGTTCATGTAAGAAAAATGGAGTCGGATGACACCAAGGATTTATCAAGGCTTTGGGCAAATTCAGCACGTTAGCATTTTGTTCAGATAAGCAATTGTGCGCGGAAATAACTGACGGTGGCCCTAAGGTTTTGTTGGTATTCTTCTCCTTGGCCCGAGCCCAACTATTTCTTGTTTTGTGTCTGTGTGCTTTCTTTCATGACAAAGTGCGAAGCGCTTGTTTTCTAACTGTCTTGTGCAAACGCATTTAGGGAACACAATGTTTTGAACGAGAAAGTGATATCTTGTGAGCACGCGTACCCAATATCAGTCTATGTCGGCATCATGCTATTTCACCTTAAAACTGCATAACGTTTCAAATTTGCGCACTGGTACTATCCGTCTTGGGTTACTTATCAGATGCATTGATCTAGTTCGACCATTTAGATATTGAGATAAAATGGCTTGCCTAAGACCGATAGGTTAAGCACAACAACTTTACACCACAAACTGGACACACAGCAGCAAATCTCCCCAACTATCGGCAAACACACATCACGAGTGACAGCTATTCTAGCAGCTACGAGCAATTTTGTTTGGTTTCCAAGCAAACGGCTCAATATTTGCATACATTAGCCTCTCGGAAATATATATATATATACATATATATATATATATATATATATATATATATATGGGCAACGTCTACTTATCAGCATAACAAGCTGGCTGCTATAGCCTACACATGTGCTCACAGCTGACCTATAACCCAGCATGACTGAGACAACATTACATTCCAAACGAATCATTTGCTGCGTTGCTGTGCTTCTTTAATACTGTGAAACATCTAAAGCTTTTGACCGCTTGGATCACTGCATAGTACTTAACAGACTGCAGGAACATAGGCTGATCAGCAACTTCCTTCGCAAATACCCATCACAAGTACCTTTCCAAGGGTCGCTTTTTGATTCGACTGGGGCGGAATATGTCGCTACGTAGCGTTTATCTTGAATAGCACAATAAGTGGACGAATGACATCAATATATGGTAGGCAATCGACTGTCAAGAAGGTCACGATATGTTGCAAAGTGAGTTAGACCGTGCCTATGAATGGTCAAGGATAAATCTAATTCCGTTTAACACGGATAAGTGCAAAACCGTGCATGTCCACCATAAGTCCACGTATGCATATAAGCTTGGAGACGACATTCTGGAAACCGCCTCGCAAGAGCGGGACCTTGGGGTAGTGATCCAAGACGATCTCGGCTGTTCGGTGCAGTCCTTGAAGGCGACCAAAACCGCTAACCGACATGTGGACCTGTTACGGAAGACGTTCGGGAGGTTCGATCAATTCATCTTCCCCCAAATGCTCAATGCATATGTGAGGCCCCATGTAAAATACGTGATCCAGGCTAGGCAATCCTGGTTAAAACGCGACCAGGTTGCACTGGAGACCGCATAGAGATGGGCAACAAAAAGCTGGAAAGGTTGTCCTACACACAATAACATAGGCGGCTGAAAGTTCTGGGAGTGTGCAGCAGGAGAAATCGCCGTCTACGTAGTGACCTCATCCTGCCGTTCAGATTTTGCAAAACCACGGTCATGCTTTCCGCAACCTTCTGAAGCTTAGCTGCGACATAGATTTGAGGGCACATAAATTACAACTTGCCAGGCAATATAGCCAGCGTGTCGAAATTATTTTTCCCTTTGAGTTTGTCAACTGTGGAACGCTCTTTCTACGTTTGTCATTTCCGCGTCCAAGCCACCCATGTTTAAAAACGACTCGACTATGCTTTACACCATTTACACTACTTGCTCAGATTTTTCTTCATTGAGTAACGACAAGACGCAGACAAACACTGTGCTCACCAACCCCACGAAATCGGGGAACATGGATAAACCTATGTGTAAACGTGGATAATGTGGTGAGTCCACAGATGAGTTTTTTCTCTTTCGTGTAACTTCATTGAACTAACGTTATTCCCACAAGCCGTCCCACGGGACTTGGCAAGCCTTGGCTTTTTTTAATCCTTATTATGCCATTGTTCCATTGCGTGCCCTCTATTCACTTGCAAACGGACAACAAATCAAATGATAACGTGATAAAAAAGAAATCAATAAGATGAAGGCGGAAGGTCACATGCAAGCGAAGTAAATGGTGGCTACAGGCAGAGAAGTAACATGAACTCCAAAGGAGTTTGAGCGTATGAAACAGTTGCTTCTGGACGCACAATGTTGGACAATGCTTTTTATAGCCAGTACCTCGGCAGATTTGAGGACTCTGGGGTTTGTGTTACGATAGATGACACTAAACGCATGCCTGGTTTGCACGCTTGAGACACGCTTGGTGGACATCTGTATTATATTATATATATTTATTAAGTCTATTAACAGACATTGTGCCATCAGAACCATGGCAGAAGAAAAAGTGAAGAATATGGGAACACGAACTGCGATTGAAAAAATATGGGAAACGGTTTTTTGGTTTTACACACGCCATTATGTATTATTTGTTTTGTGAGTTTTTGCGTGCATCAAAGGAATGGTAAAATGGCAGAACAACATTGACGCCACTGATGTCTGTTGCGGGCCATGACGTCTAGTGTTTCCAACCACTGCGATTCAGCATCTCGTGGTCCCCCAACCTGGAAGACGGACTGGTCCGACTGCCGCCAAACTTGAGCTTGTCTTCTTCATGTTCCTTCTCCACGTCATTGATGTCCACCACGGTACATTTTCCAATCGCTCCCTGGGAGTGCAAATAGCGCTCGACGTGGAAGGCGATGGGCTGGCATGCGCAGAACGTGCCCGAGCCAACGCATGCGATGTCGGAGGATAACGTCCTGAAGACTGGCACTATTTGCCGCAAGCACGCGGTCTCGCACCTCTGCGTTGCTTACATGGTGTTGCCACTACACCCGAGCAATTCTTCGTAGACAGCGATTGTCGAAGACTGGACAGCCGCTTCATATCTTCCGAGCGAATAGGCCAAGTCTCACAGCCGTACAAGAGTACTGCACGGACGGAAGCATTGTACACCCTGCCCTTGAGCTTGAGACTGACATCACGACGACGCCATAGGTGTCTCAGTTTGATGAATGAAGATGAATGAGACTTCATCTTCAACACCGCCACCAGGCGTGATGCAACTCCCTAGATAAATACAGCAAGGGACTTGCTCCAGAACATGTCCAGCAATAGTGAGCATGGGTTCAGGCACCTGCCAGTCCTGGAGCAGCGTTTTAAATCTTCCCGGAGTGAAGCATAAGCCGTACTTAGACACCTCCATCGCCAAGCGGTCCAAAGCGCTCTGGACGGATTGTGGGTGGTCCCCCAGCAAGGCGATATCATCGGCGTAGTCCAAGTCCGTGACTCTGTCTCCAGGGAGGAGCTGAACACCACAGTCCTTAACACCTTCCAGTGCTCTTTGGAGAACGTCTGTTGTCATTCCGAAAGCAGTACCGTCATCAGAATGACATTTCCAGCAAACCCTGACGTCAAATATCACTTGCGAATGTTCGGAAATGCAGAGGCCACAACTTCTGGCCAAGCTGGTGTCAGGGTTGCACTGAATGACAGGGCTGAGGTCGCTCTGCTTGACTGGATCCTAGTCAACAGTTGGTTATGTGTTGTCAAGCTAGGAGGTTAATGTAAGTTAGGTAAGCGTCGAGATGTTACGCGTGCCTTGTTTGCCATCTCTGCCTACGCACCTACAGACTGCAGCCCGGATCCAGTCAAGGATTGCTTTTACCAAAAGCTAACTGAGCTTCTGCGTTCCACTAAAAAATTTGGCGTTTTTATTCATGCCGGAGATTTTAACGCAAGAGTTGGTCGCCTGCTACCAAGCGAGCACCACCTTGCAGTTTTGGCCTCGGTAACAGCCGATCAGGCAATGGAGACGGACTACTGACTATTTGTTTTGATCATCGCTTGTTTATTTCGAGTACAACTTCTCGTCATTCAAAAAGACAGACTGCTACCTGGCGTCCACCTTCCCAAACACAAGAATGGTCCCAGCTTAATCACATAGCTACAGATGGCGCGGAAGCGTAGCTGACTGTAGATCGTACTGGTCAACTTGTCTGGACTCGGATCACGCACTGGTTCGCGCTAAAATTTGCATGCCTTTCGGAGAATCATCCAGATGTACGAAATACCGATTGAATGTTGAAAATCTGCAACATCCTGAGACGTTAATCAAGTACCACGCTTCTCTGTCTATACTGCTTGCTTCACCCTCTGACGATGGTCTCATTTCGCAGTGGATGCGCATCAAAGACGGTTTAATTTCTGCCAGTACCGTCAGTTATGGATTTGCTTGTCACTCGCCGAAAACCTAGATCATCACTGCCTCCATGTCGCTGATGGACAGTCCGCTTGATCCCAGCCAACACTAGCTGTAGTGAGGAACGCCGATCCCTGGATCGAGCGTTGCTTAGGAGCTTTCAGAAGGACCGTAAGACTTGGTGGTGTGAACATGCTAGAGCTTGAACTTACTAATCTCTCTGGTAATACCAGAAATGTCCCACCTCATCTGAGTCACCGAAGGCTTCCGATCAGGAGTAAGCGAAACACTCTGCGAAGATGATGGTTCCCTAATCACTAATCTTCAACGGCCGTTGGAGCGATGGGCCGAACATTTTCGCTAGCAGTTTTCATGGCCGTCAGATCCATCTGTTTCCCCTGGTGCGCGCACTGGAGAAGAGTGGACGATCCCAACTGATCCTCCATCTCACCAGCAAATCTGGCGGGAACCCAGCTGGCTAAAGCGTTATGAGACACCTGGCCCTAATGGTCTACCTCCTGCTCTAGTTAGAGATGGGGGCTCTTCGCTGGTTGAAGAA